CCAGGCTCTGCTGTGCATGCAAGATACTCTCAGGAGCTTGCTAGGCTCTCCGAGAGGGATGGAGAAATTGAACCCAGGTCAGCTACATGCAAGGCAAATTCCCTGCCTGCTGCGCCATCACTCCAGCCCCTGTGCTATCGCTCCATATCTGTGTTATTCCAGAATCAAGATGAAGCTAGACGAAATGACTCAGTTTTCAGCAGGCCAATGTGTCTACTGGAATTCGTAAAAGTAGTATTTAGAGACACCAGCAAGCTGTGAAGCAATGAACACTACCAGGAGAAAAACTGTAGAGAGAGTAGTCATTTTAAAGGTGAGCAAAGCAGCAGTAAATGTCCCTGCATTTGCCAAATTTAGTCATAGGAACAGACTGAGAATTGGGGTTAGGTCCAGGAGGAAAATAGCTACTGGTTAAAAAAAAAATCACTGAAATTTTGTTGCTTCCATGAGGCTGAGATGCCAAAATTGAAAATTTGAGGGCCAATTTTCTCCTCATTTTCTAAATTCTGAAGCTACACCGCTGACGCAAATAAGTGTCTAAGCCAAAACCTTCGAAAGGCCAAATACAGTGTTTTAGAAAAATATACTCCATAGTAAGATTCAATAGATTAACAGGTGGGAATTAAAGCTCTCTCTGAGAGAGTAGTGAACCAACAGTGACAATTTTCAAACATTTATTTTGCCTGGAGGCAATAGCTGATCTATGTAATGGCCATCACAGAATATTTGCAAAGTTATAAAGTTGAAAAAGGCAGAAGCCAAAGAGATAAGATTTCTCTGAAATATGAAAATTTCCAGAGTCGCCTAGATGTTGAAGAGGAAATGACAGGCCAGACTCTCATTAAAAGCTCAAAGAACCACATCCTAGCAACAGTGGCAAAGGAAAGGTACATTATAATAGCAACCAAGCTTGACCCAGATTAGTCCATGACTAGATTCAGTGATGAAGTGTGAACGAGAACCCAATGGTCCACTCTTCCTACTTAGGAAGGGGAAGAGTGGACAGATATTGGTAAAAGGTGACATCAACTGAACTCCACATATTTTAAACACAGTGTCAACCACATAGTAGTAGGAAGATGATTGAAAACAAAGGGGAAAAAATAGCAGGAACAAATCCAACAATACATACGTGAAGTACACAATGGTACAAGGTACAAGTAAACAATTTAGGAGAGGGTGGGGGGAGTTGGTGGTGTTTAGGTGCTACTATCAGCACCAGAACAGTTTTAGGGATAGCTTGAGGCAGTGCTCTAGGGACTAGGCAGTTCTGAAGACTGAACCTAGGGGTCTCACATGTAAAACTTGTGTGTATGCCTCTTTTGCTGATCACAACACCCAAAAGGAGAGAGAAAACAAAAGGAAATGCCCTGCCAGAGTGGCAGGGGGAGATGGGGAGAATGGGGGGGGGGAGGGATATTATCCTTGGTGGTGGAAAATGGGCACCGGTGGAGGGATGGGTGTTTGATCATGGTATGACCGAAATCCAAGCACAAAAATTTGTAAGTCTACAACTGTACCTCATGGTGTTTCACTAATAAAAATTAAAAAAAAAAAACTTGTGTGTGTTTCAGTCCTTTGAGCTGCCTCCCTGGTCAATAACTCTTCTTTTCTTTCTTTTTGCCACAGTGCTAAGAATCAAACCCAGGGCCACACACATGAAAGTCAAGCGATGTACTGCTGAGCTATATCATCAGTGAGAAACAATGACTTTATTATTTTATTTTACTTTTCTCTCACCATTTGGTTAACATTTTATTGTTTGGTTGGGGTTTTCTTGTTTTTTGGGGTCACACCTGGCAATTTTCAGGGCTTACAACTCCTGGCTCTGTGCTTATAAATCACTCCTAGTGGTGCTCAAGGATTTTATGTGATGTCAGGAATCAACACAGGGCAAATACCTTACCCACTGTAGTCTCTCTGCAGCACCCATTTATTTTTTAAAAAAGTATGGAAAGCTCCAGGGGTATGATGCCACCAGCAGGTCAATCTGAACCTGTGAGGCGAGTGCATCAGCAGCCTGATGGCGCCTTCAGACTTCCAGATACCCCAAAATTGCTGCTGTGCCTTTGGCCAGACCCCAAAACTTGGGGCAAAGTTTACCAAGAAAGTAAACAACCAAAAGTTGGGTATGTGGGAGATACACCCACAAGCCACCTCCAGCACAGCTATATAACTGGAGGCATGGCCTCTCTGGTTCCTGATTGAACTGCTTAATGGCCATGATCCCAGAGACTCAGAAACAAATCTTGAAACCCAGCGGCTTTTGGCAGACATGCATCCAGTCCCTGCAGTAGGTTACCAGTGCTGGGCCAACCCAGATGGGAATAGGTTTCGTGCCTTGGCCTATTCCCCCTGGCCGCCTGGTGGCCGCAATCCTCCAGAGGCCACTGGATAGTCAGGTTTGGACTCGCCGTGAGGAGACACGCAGGGCCTCATGGGATGGGGGTGGAGCCGGTCCTTTCCTCCCCATTCCAATGAGACCCCAAGTCTTCACCCACGAATGGCCTCTCTGGCTCCTGATCAAGCTGCTTAATGGCCATGATCCCAGAGACTCAGAAACAAATCTCGAAACCCAGTGGCTTTTGGCAGAAATGCATCCGGACCCTGCAGTAGGTTACTATTGCCGGGCCACCCTAGGGGGAAAAGGGTGCTGTCCCTCCACCTGCTCCCCCTAGGTGGCTCGGTGGCCATCATCCTCCAGAGGCCACTGGACAGTCAGGTTTGGGCCCTCAGTGACAAGACATGTGGGGCCTCATGGGATGTGGAGCTGGCCTTTTCCTCCCGGTTCCAACAAGACCCCGAGTCACTGCCCATGAATGGCCTTTCTGGCTCCTGATCAAGCTGCTTAACGAACATGATCCCAGAGACTCAGGAGCAAATCTAGGAACCCAGCAGGTTTTGGCAGAAATCCCTCCAGATTTAAGTGTTAAAATTTCAGAATTTCAAAATCGCGAGGCCACTACTGCAGCCACGCGACATCTTATGTTATTCATAACTAATTGTCTACTGTAACCTTTTCAGCAGATCTGAGTGTTGGGGTAAAATCTCAAATAATAATGGTGGGTCTGGTGTCAAGATACTGAATGTGATCAAAGTAGAGACAGTAATGTGGAAATCATCTGCCCCACAGGTAGGGGGAGGGTGTGGGACGGGGGTATACTGGGGTTGTTGGGGGTGGAAAATGGGCACTGGTGAAGGTATGGGTGTTTCATTCTACAACCAAGACTTAGACCCAAAAGCTTTGTAACTGCTCTCACAGTGATTCAATAAATAAAATTATAAAAAATGAAAAGAAAATGTAAGGTGGAGTTCATGCCCAATTCAATCAGCTAATCAGTGGCTGAATAAATAGCAGTACTCCTACATAAAAAAAAAGTATGGAAAGCAGAGGATGGTCAACTTCAATAGAGTTAATACCAGAGATCTTATTTTATATCTTCATTTCTTCACATCATCAGGAAATAAAATTCAAGTCAAAGTTCACTTCTGCCCTGACTTTCTATATGCATTGTGATCATTTAAATGTTAATATTTAAAAATAATCTTAATTAACCAGGCATAATGCAAAATAGCACTGATGAGTTCTAGCCATGTACAAAAGTCATGAATTTTCATGAAAAAATTAGGTATTTCTTTCTATGCACCTTAAATAGTTGCTAAGCTTTGCAGGAATATAACATGAATATGCTCAAGAAAATAGAGAAAATATGGAGAATTTCATCAGAGAATTTGAGGTTATTAGAAAGAAGTAAATGAAAATTTTAGCACCAAAAGATACATACTTGAAATTCTAACTCTTAAGAAATTTCTGTTTCTACATAATGTATAAAAAACTATGTGCCTATACAAATCACTTGAAGTTAGGAATAATATCAGTAGAGAGGATGTGAAGGACAATTTTCAGAATAAACATAATGGAAACATCAACAAAAAAATAATGAAGAGGCCTGGAGATCGTTTTACAGGATAATAACCACAGTGTGAGTTTTTCTATCCCAGAGTTTTCTGGTTTAAGTGGAAGTAAACATCATTTACCACATCATATACTTCCACTATTGTTGCAGAGGCTAAACTGAGGGGTGCAGGGAAGTAACAGAGTAACAGAGTCACTCTCAGTAACTCTCAGAGAGGGACATGCATGCCTGGGGAATCAAACTCAGACAGGTAACTCTACAACCTGAGTTGCATCTCCAGTCTCCAAACTAGATATTTGGGGAATCGAAGGCTTCCCAAGCAGAATTCAGGGGACCTGCAGGCCACTCACGTGGAAACTCAGTCAGTGCAGTAATTCATTGCTCAAGTCCAAGTATGTACTGACAGCCAGGCCCTGCAGTGGTGAGTCCTCGGGGCCATGTGGCGCCAGGGATTGAGTCAGGGTTGGGTATAGACAAGGCAACATCCTAACCTCTATACTATCTCTTTGATTCCACCAAACTAGATTTTAGGGACACCCCTTTTCTTTCTTTTTCTTTTTCTTAAATTTTTATTAGTGAAACACCATAAGGTACAGTTGTAGACTTACAAATTTTTGTGCTTGGGTTTCAGTTATACAATGATCGAATACCCATCCCTCCACCAGTGCCCATTCTCCACCACCACCAGTCCCAGTACCCCTCCCACCCCCTTTCCCCCCATCCCACCCTACCACTGTGGCAGGGCATTCCCTTTTGTTATCTCTCTCCTTTTGAGTGCTGTGGTTTGCAAAAGAGACACTGAGTGGCAATCCTGTTCGGACTATAGTCTACTCTCATCACACATTTCCCATCCTGAGAGGAACCTCCCAACATTCTTTATTTGGTGCTCCCTTCTCTATCTGAGCTGCCTTTTTCCCTAGCGTGTGCAGCTGTCCTCAAAGCCATGGAGTAGTCCTCCTGGTAATTATCTCGGCTATTCTTGGGTGTTAGTCTCCTATTGTGTTACTTTATGTTCCCCAGATGAATGCAATCTTTCTAGGGACACCCCTTTTCAATATGATGTACAGAGCTAAAGCAACTTACAGGCAGGTGTGTGAATACAGCAAAGGTGCTTCGCAGGAAGGCAATGAGGTCGACTAGGTAATCACTAGCTTTGTTGTCCAAGTCTCCTGTCATCCAGTCATAATCAGCCAGCTGTAAAAACTGATCAATCTTCTGGTTTAAGTTGGTATAAATTTCCTCCTCAGCTGCATGTCTGGCATCCTGTGAGACAGAAAATTTGAAAAATCATTCAGACTTCCAATACAAGGAACAACTTATGCTTGGATACAGATCCACATATATCCCTGAAGTAACAGAAGTGAGAATATTAAGTAATGCTCTATTAGTCACATCCACCCATTTTTCTTTTTTCAGAAGCAGAGTGGAATCTTTTGTATTTCATGTCAGAGACAACTTGTTATTTTGCTTCACTAAATAAACTACCTTTACTGCTCTCAGCTCTCAGGATGCCAATTTCTTTTCTTTGTCCAAAACTATACCCACTCTCAGGATCTGACAGCCTTTTATGTCTTCCAGGACTTCCAACAATCCCCCTTCATTTAACATCACCCTCTCTAAATCCTCTACTCCCTCTACTTTGCTTATTATAAGTATGCTAAGCACTCAATTTAATTCTGCATTTTTCTCACTAGCGACTACCCTACCTCTAATTTCTTTTCTTTTCTTTCTTTATTTTTTTGATTTGTTTTGAGCATCTTTAAAAATTGATATATTCTGAGTTTCCAAAATGTATTTTAAGTAACAACAGTTTTAAAAAATAGTAAAACAGGAGCCAGAGTGATAGTACAGTGAGTGAGATGCCTGCCTTGCACACAATTAATCTGGGTTTGTTTGGTGTAAAAAAATTTTACACCAAATTCGGCCAGGTGTGATCCCTACGTGCAGCGCCAGGAGTAAGTCCTGATAATCACCTGGTGTGGCCCCAAAACAAAAGCTAAATACTGAAACAATAATCAGCAAGGGTTCCAAAATAAAATTAAGTTTGGGAAACAATTTAAGACATATAATACATGCAAAAGCATATGGAATACTCTAAGAAGTTTTCAGAGAATAAAAATATGTTCAAGACAAATGCGTTTATCTTGACTGCACCCGGGGAATCTGGATTCTTCACAATTCACCAACACCGTTTTGTCCAGGGAAACCCAAGACTTCCTAGATACCATAACTAATATTCAATTTTCATTATTGGTCTCAAAACTTAATCTCTGTTAAACATTCTCAACTCGATAGGGTTTTGGAGATAGTACAGTGGGTAAGGGAGTTTTCGTGTGTGCAGCTGACCCAGGTTTGATTGCCAGGACCCCATATGGTCCCTCAGTACTGACAACAGTGACCCCTGAGCCCTTACTTCTCAGAAGTAAGTCCTGAGCACAGATGGGTGTGTCTGTCCTACAACCAAACAACTAGAACACTTGGTGCAGGGGTGGGGGTGGGGGGGGGGGCTTGGGAAGAGTGGGGGCACAGGTTTGGGAAATACCTACCAGGGTTCACTTCTAGGGAAGTTTGCCAGGGGGGCGGGGGAAGAGGCATATGCAATACTGGAGATTAAACTGGGGTGAGCTGCAGGCAAGACAAGCACCTTAAAGCCTGTGCTGTTTTCCACCTCTAGAATTCTGTTTCCCCTTGGCTTAGATTACACAGCTGTCTCCTATCTTTACTTTTTCTGGCCCCTAATTTTCTCAGTTTCTCTCAGTGACTTAATCAATACCTAGAATTCTACTTTTTCCATCTAAACCTAGTCTTACGAGTGATGCATAAGATCTCTAGATTTACGAAAAATCCAAAAGATCCTTCATAAAATCTTCCTCTGTCCAAACCTAGTCATTTGAAAGACTATTCCCAGGGCAATATGACCCACAGAAACTTAGAACTTAGTAGGTCCAGAAACAGATCTAGCTATCATCCCCAATTTATTCCATAGCAGAGATATAAACAATATACTTAATTCCATCCTTTTCCTTATAGTCATGTGTTTATGCATTCTAATTCCCAAATTCCTAACTTATAACATCATACTATTTTTGCTTTAAAGACTACATAATTTTGTGAAATCATTATATATTATAATATAGGCACTGACTTGGTTGGAGCAATAGCAGAGCAGGTAAGGCATTTGCCTTGCACGAAGCCAACATGGCCGACCTGAGTTCGATTCCTCTGCTCCTCTTGGAGAGCCCGGCAAGCTACCGAGAGTATCTCGCCCGCACGGCAAAGTCTAGCAAGCTCCCCGTGACGTATTCAATATGCCAAACACAGTAACAATAAGTCTCACAATGTTACTGGGCCCACTAGAGCAAATCAATGAACAATGGGAGGACAGTGACAGTGACAGTGACAGGCACTGACTTTGTTTATTTATATAAACAGTGTTTCATGGAAACTTCTGTGCTTGCATCTTTACATACTTGGGAGATAATATAATATTGTCCTTAAATTCCCATTTCATGAAATTTTCTTTTAATTAGTAGACATTTTTTTAATGTAGGCTTAGCGAAAAATGAGCAGAAAGTACAGAGAATTTGCTGAAACTGTTTCCCTTCTGTCTCTCCATTGTTTCTGCTATTTAAATGTCTTGCATTACCAGGGAATATTTATTACAACTAATCAACTAATATTGACATTTTATCTGATGACATCCATAATCTGCATTAAGGTTTAATTTTGTGATGTACGGTATTATGGTCATTGGCAAATACATACCATGTATTTACCATTACAGAATCATATACAGTATTTTTACTTAAAAATCCGTTCTGCCACAGGGGATTGCCCTGCCACAGAGACAGGGGGGATGGGGGGATGGGGGTGGGGGGGATATTATCCATGGTGGTGGAAAATGGGCACTGGTGGAGGGATGGGTATCTGATCATTGTATAATTGAAACCAAAGCACAAAAAATTGTAAATCTACAACTTTAAAAAAAATAAAATAAAATAAAGGGAAAAAAAAAATCCGTTCTGCTCTATCTATTCATCTCTCTTTTCTTTGCTCATCCCCCAGATTCTGGCAACCAATAATCTTTTTACCTTTTCCATTATTTTGTCTTTTCCAGAATGTCAGACAGTTAGAAACCATATCACATTTTCAAACTGAACTTTTACACTGCACACTTAAGGTTCTCCCATGTCTTTCTAAGACCCAGGAGTCCATTCATTCTCAACACAGCATAACAGTCTATTGCCCTGAGTTATTATAGGCTTTTTTTTTTTCAAAAAGTCACTTAACTATCAAAGGACATCTTAAATCACTTAGCCATCAAAGGACGTCATGGCAGTTTACAAGTTTTGGCAATTTATGAATAAAACGGCTCTAAACATTCATGTGCAAGCTTTTGTGTGGGTAAGTATTCAACTCACTGGGGTGATATCAAAAAACAAGACTGCTAGATTGCATGGTAAGATTATCTACATTTATTGTTGTAAGAATGTGATAAACTATCTTCCAAAATGACAGTACAATTTTGCATTGGCACGCAAATGAATGAATTGAGTTTTCCCCACAGCATTTGTTGTCAGAGTTTTGGATTTGGGCCATTGCAATAATTATGGAGTGTTATCTCATTATTGTTTTAATTTTCAATTCCCTGACCAATGTTTGGTGAGCTATCTGACCAAATTTTCTGTCCATTTTTTAAAATCTGGTTGTTTCCTTTCCTATTGCTGAGTTTTATTAGTTCTTTATATATTTTGGATATGTCCTTTTTTCAGGTGTGCTCTGTAGACGTATTTCCTCTGACTGTCCTGCTTGCTTTCATTCTCTTAACAATGATTTCTCAGGGCAGTTTTTCATTTTAATGAAGTCCAAAGTATCAAATTTTTCTCTGATGGTTCATGCTGGTTCATGTTATAACTAAAAAGTCCTTACCAAAGCTAATATCATTTATATGCTCTTATTTTATGTTTGGAGATTTAGTTATATATTTTACATCCCAGTCCAGTGTTTTATTTTATTTACAGGGGTAATACTGTCCTCTGGGGTAGGGTGGCACTTGAAAGATTAAGGTGGGTGCAAATGTTTAATGTTTACTTAGAGAAGGTAGATTTCAAGGTCAGCACTGAGTAATTTTTTTCTGAGAAAGGGGTGGTAGGCCAATAAGTTTTGGTAACCTCTGTCTAATGTATTATCCATGTTAAGTTAATTTTTGTGAAAATGTAACATCTGTGTTTAAATTCATTTTTTTCTTTCTGTATGTGGATATCAAGTTATCTCACTACCATTTATTCAAAAGACTCAGCTCTCCATTGACTTTGCTTCTTGTCAGTAACTATTTGACCGTACAAATAGTTTAACGATGGAGATGTTTTGAGAATGCATCCTTTCTTGATTCTGTTGTTATGTCAGCAGAAAGTCTAATCATGCAAACCTATATGGCATAACCTACTACATGTGATTCTTTGTTGACTGAAATGCCATTACATGACACATGACCTTATTTGTTTGGCTCTGTTTCTGGGTTCCCAGTTTGTTCTCTTGCTCTATTCCTTTGTCAATACTATACTGTCTTCAGTAGTCTTGAAATGAGTTAGGGTCAATCTTCTGATTGTGTTTTTGTTTACTATTGTATTGACTACACAGGATACTATCCATCTTCATAAGAATTTTAGAATCAGATTATAAATATCCACTAAAAAATTTGCTGGGATTTGTATTTGGAATATATGAATCTCTTGATGAGCTTGGAAAGAACCAATACTGAGTCTTGGGAGAGAGGCTTGTCTTGCATGCAACTGACCCAAGTTCAATCCCAGATAATGCAGATGGTCCCTAGAGCCACACTAATAATCCCTGAGCACAGAGCTAGGAGTACTCCCTGAACACTGCCAAGTGTGCACCTCCAATTTTATTTAGTCTTTCTATCCATGAATATAGACCCTATTTCCATTTATTTCATCTTTCTTCGATGACTTCTTTTCATCAGTTGTACAAATTTCCTTACATGGATTAAATGTGTGTCTCTGTGTGTGAATTCCTTTTCGCATGTATGAATGTATTAATGTAAAAAGTGTTATAATTTTTTGTTTGTTTATGGTTTGTGGGCAATTCCCAGGAGTGTTCTGGGGTTATTTCTGGCTCTGTGCGCAGAAGTGACCTCTGGCCATCATGTGGTGCTGGGAACTGAACTGGGGTGGACACATGCAAGATAAATGCTTTAATCTTAGCCTCAAGCATTCTGTTTTTAATTTCAAATTCCAATCACA